ATGACCACCATTCGCCTGGATTGATGCTTAGTGGCAAGCACAGACATTGGCTTTGCAAACACAGCAGCCAACAGAAGTCCAATTAGCAACAAGAACATTTGCCCAGTGACACTGAAGTGCAAGCACAAATAAGTGCTCTATTGTTCCAGTGTGTGCTACTGCTGCTGTAATTGTCACCCGGTATTTAAGGACACTGAAGAATTAGTTTAAAAGTGTGCTCGACACACAGAATCGGTGGTGACTTTCTGAAGGTGTTCCAGTCAGTCAGTTAGTCGAAACACTAGAGCTCAACAACAAGTTCAACAATTTAGTGTCACCTTCAATCAATCGAATTAAAATTCAGCAGTGGCACTAAACTCCTTCAAATAAATAAAAAACTTCAGTGTCAACACACATACTGAGACACTATCACCAAAAATGCCTCCGAAAAAGCAGCGCAGCATTTCCAGTCGCTCTGACCAGCAGCCCTTTATGGTGAATCTGGAGATGGAGGTGGAGGAGGAAATGGAAGATGACATCAACAACAACGAAGTCATCTCCAGCACTGAAGAGTCATCATCCTCCTCCTCTTCGGACTACTCCAACAGCCTGGAGACGAACTCCACCGACGCCTGTTCGCCCTCGCCGCCCTCGACCACTTCTACTTCCACTTCCTCATCATCCTCCTCATCACCTCCGTCCTTTATCAGCATACCTTCCACTGCTATCAAATCGGACGACATCATTCCCGCCATCAGCATCATCTCGCCGACGCCGACTGAGCCGAAGGAAGTTCTTCGAACCGGTTTAGGAGCTGGTGCTGCTCCTCGGTTTGCCTTCCCTAGCAACAAATCTGCTGATCAGCCAAAGCCAAAGAGCCTCTTCGAGGTAAGAGAGAAGTTGTTGCCTATTTATGTGTGTGTGTGTGTGATAATGGGCTTTTGATTAGTTCGACACCGGTGGTAATTACTGCTGCTGCTGCTGCTGCTGTTGGTCATTATCTGTGCACAAATATTTGCTGGCTATGAATATGTCGTAAAGTGGTGTGTGTGTGTGTGTGTGATTATGCGAATTTAGTTGTACAGAAATTGAGAAGANCGGTGGTAATTACTGCTGCTGCTGCTGCTGCTGTTGGCCATTATCTGTGCACAAATATTTGCTGGCTATGAATATGTCGTAAAGTGGTGTGTGTGTGTGTGATTATGCGAATTTAGTTGTACAGAAATTGAGAAGATTATTTGCAGTCTTTTGCCTTTTCTGTTTTCTTTTTACCTTTTAAGTCGGAAATTGTTGAGCAAAATGGGGAGAAAAATCATCGATTAACTTCTTAGAAGAGTAATTGCAGAATGGCTGGTGGTGATTTGGTGATTTGGCAGAAAGAGAAGGGAGAGAAAGTGATTGAATGTACTTGCCAAATAATCTTTTGTTGATGTCATTGTCTGAGTGTTCACTTGCACAGTTCAACTGAATAAACAGATAAAATTGTGAAAAGAATTGAGGATTGAGACGTTTTGTCTCGAGACTATCGATAGCCAAATATTAGCATTTGTTGGTTCTTGTTTTCAGCTGGGGGAAATTCCCCTATCAACAAAAAAAGTTTAGATGCGTGATGATGAAAAGAGAGATAAATCAAATGAAGAGTTGGTTGCACTAAAGTGTCAACATTTAGCAAAATGTGGTGTCTCCCACACCAGTTGTACAAACAGACACACAGTCAGTCAGTGAGATTGATTGCCACCGGCTGGTAAATCAAAGCATTTTCAGTAGCCGTAGGATTTTGAGAGATTAAATGCGGAGGATATAAAACAGAAAGGGTTAGATGACTTTTGGTAGCAGTATCAGTAAATCTCATCCTCAAAATAGCACACTTTAGTGCAAGCATACCAAAGCTGCCTTACGTCAGAGAATGACTTGAGCTAAGAGCAAAGATGAGTGAAGATGTAATGTGTGAACCTTCTTCTTTTTCTTCTTACCTTCAACGTTATGCTCTTCTGCTTTTCCCGGGCAATTCGCCAGTTTGCCCGGTCATTGCTGCACTGGCAGAAAACGTAAACGCACATTTCACNATGTAATGTGTGAACATTCTTCTTTTTCTTTTTCTTTTTACCTTCAACGCTTTGCTCTTCTGCTTTTCCCGGGCAATTCGCCAGTTTGCCCGGTCATTGCTGCACTGGCAGAAAACGTAAACGCACAATTCACTGTTCATTGGGTGATTAATGATCAATCTTTCCTTTTCTTCTTTTCATCCCAGATTGGCGACGAGGAGTCAGAGGATTCCACAACCGAAAATCACAACCGAACCTTGAACTTGACCGAAACTGAAGATGGGGAAAATGGCGCAGAAAATCCGAAAATCTCAAAGTCTTTTGAGAGCCGCTGCTGTGGAAATGGCTGCACCAAAATCGGTGAGAACCAGAAAAATAGCCACCGCCGCCGGTCGCCATCTTTGTCCACTTTGTCTTCAGACGATTCGACTTCACCTGGTGAAAATGGTGACCAAACGGGCAGCAAGCTCGAGTGCATCTGCCTGGAGATGTGTCCCATTACCACCACTGAAACAAAAAGGAAAACGTCTGCTGAAGACCAAGACGNCCTTCTTCTTTTTCTTCTTACCTTCAACGTTATGCTCTTCTGCTTTTCCCGGGCAATTCGCCAGTTTGCCCGGTCATTGCTGCACTGGCAGAAAACGTAAACGCACATTTCACAGTTCATCGGGTGATTAATGATCAATCTTTCCCTTTCTTCTTTTCACCGTAGATTGGCGACGAGGAGTCAGAAGATTCCACAACCGAAAACCGAACCTTGAACTTGACCGAAACTGAAGAACGAGAAAATGGCGTTGAAAATCCAAAAATCTCAAAGTCGCAGAGCCGTTGCTGTGGAAATGGGTGCACTAAAATCGGGGAGAACCCGAAAAATAGCCACCGCCGCCGGTCGCCATCTTTCTCCACTTTGTCTTCAGACGATTCTACTTCACTTGAAAATGGTGACCGAAAAAACAATCTCGAGTGCATTTGTCTGGAGATGTGTCCCATTACCACCACCACCACCAAAACAGAAAGGAAAACGTCTGCTGAAGAAGAAGACCAAAACGGCGAAGAAGTAGAAAATGCGCCTCATCACGATGATCTGACAACCGAAGAGAAAGAGAAAGAGGAGCCTGGTCGTCTGCTCACCACCACCGCTCACACTCACCGTCGTAATCGGTCTACTCATCACCGTCATCATTATCACCACCGTTATCACCAGCACCACCAGCACCCTCCGCCTACTCCTCTCCCTCTTCTTTGCAATCAGCAGGTGTCCTTATATGGGCCCGAGCAACAGTCGCCGGCGGGCGCATTTGTTGGTAGTGAGCAGCAGCAGCAGCTCTTCAGCAGCAAAGAATCACTGTCTTCCACTTCTTCAGCTGCTGCTGCTGCTGCCCAGCAACAACATCAACAACATCAACATCATCAACATCAACAAAAGCCAGCACCTCAATCCGCCATCATGCCGATGGCCATCAACTCAATGGACAAGTGCTCCAAGCTGTGGCGGAACGACCCCACGGAGCCCTTTCCCGCCAAGGCGCGCCCTAAGCCGATCAAGTTCGAGATTCCCTCGGCGGCGAAGACGATGGCCAGCTACTTTCGCCTGCCGTCTCCGGTTTCGCCAGCCGTTTCAGCTGGACAACAAACACCACAAACGGGCGGCCTGTACAGCATCGGCAGTGAGCCCATCATCAACCACGGCTTTGAACCGGAGGAGGAGGAGGAGGAGGAGGTCTCTCCCGGAAGAGGACGACGACCTCTGGCCACTCTTCAGGTGAGCCAAACGCTGCCGCCCTCCGCCTCGCTCGCCTCCTTCAGCAGTGTCGCCGCCCACTCGAACCTCTCCAGCCCGGAGGCGTCTAGAACGCCCTTCTCGCCAAACATTGGCGGCGCCCAGCACTCGCCAGCGGCGCCAGCGATGACCAACTTTGTGCCCATCTACATTAGCGCCAAAGACCTGGAGGCGGCCTTTCTCGGCGGCGGTAGCAACACCGATCAGGCTAGTGGTGGCCCACCTCCTCAGTACACCTCAGCCGAACAGCTGCAGCAGAAGAAGAAGGTCGTCCAGCTGGCGAACCTGAGCGCCACGCCCTCCGCCTACAACAGCCTCAATGCGAAGCACAGGAACTCGGCGGTGAAGCGGACCAAGTCCTTTCAGGAGCGGATTCAGCGGGCTCTGTGGGGCGGCACTAACGGGGAAGGTGATGGTGACCCCTTACCGCCACCGAAAGCGGCCCTCTGCGCGCGGATGNAGAACTCGGCGGTGAAGCGGACCAAGTCCTTTCAGGAACGGATTCAGCGGGCTCTGTGGGGCGGCACTAACGGCGAAGGTGATGGTGGTGGTGACCCTCTGCCGCCACCGAAGGCGGCCCTCTGCGCGCGGATGAGCATTCTGGGGAAGCCGCTGAAGCAGCCTCGAAATCGAAGCCTCCACCTGATGCGCCAGCGCGTCTGGCTCTACAACTTTCTCCAGCGGCCGAGGGGCGTCCTCGCCTATGCGTACCACCTCGCCGTCGCCATCACCATCATCCTCAACCTGCTCTTCTTTGCCCTCTCCACGGTGTCCTGTAAGTAGTTTTAAAACCTCTTTTTAACCCCCTTTTTAAACCACAAACATCCTCGTGTTTAGACCTCGAGCCGCAGTCGATGAACGCCCTGCGCGCCCTCGACATCATCATCCTCAGCATCCTCACGCTGGAGCTGCTGGCGCTCTGCTGGGCCAGTAGCTGCGTGGGAAAGTACCAGGGCTGGCAGGGTAAGTTTAGGTTCATCTTTCTCTCCCCCTTCCGCCTGCTGGACCTGCTGATCATTGGGGTCACTGCGGTGGTGGTGTGGACCTGCTGGCTGAACTCGCACCAGGACTACCTCCAGTGGCTGCGCTGTGGGATGATCTTCCAGATACTTCGGCTGGAGAACCGCTTCAAGCCCTGGCGGATGCTCAGTAGTGTGCTGTGGATCGAGCGGAAGCACCTGCTCATTACCGTCTACATGGGCTTCCTCATTCTGGTCACCATCAGCTACGTGGTGTTCTTCCTCGAGCAGGAGGACCCGGAGACGCTCTTTACGAACATACCCGTCTCGCTCTATTGGGGAGTGATAACGGTGTGCACCATTGGCTACGGGGACATGGCGCCCAAGACGACGGCGGGGCGGACGGTGGGCGCCCTGTTGGCCATCTGCGGCGCCGTGATCTATGCCATTCCGGCGGGCATCATTGCCACTGGCCTGGCCTTGAAGGTAAGTCATTTCCAAAAGGTTTTGGAAGCTTTTCATATCTTTGATTTTTTAGGTTCAAGAGCGGAACCGTGAGAAGCACATCAACAAGCGGCGCATTCCCGCCGTGCGGCTGATTCAGTGCGCCTGGCGGTGCTACGCGGCCTCGGCCAACTCCACCTCCTCCGTCACGTGGTGGGTGGCGCAGAAGGCGGTGGCCAGCGGCGGAAACCGGGGTGGAGGAGGCTTTCACCGGAAGCTGATGGACATGTACAATGGGTCGCAGTTCAGCCTGATGGAGGATCATCATCAGCACCACAGTGACCACCACCATAACGGTGATCATCACCAGCACAACAACCACAGCACCGCCGCCTCGAAGCAAAACTCGCACTCTGACCTGCACGCCCTGAACCTCGAAAGCGGCGGTGGCGGCGGCGGTGGAATCCTCAGCGGCGCCCAGAAGAACGCCGTCCGCTTTATCCGGGCGGCGCAGTACGAGGTGGCGCTGCGTGAGTTCAAGAACGCCTTCAAGCCGTACGACATCAAGGACGTGCTGCAGCAGTACTCGGAGGGCCATGCCGATGTGGTGGGCCGCGTGCGGTGCATGCAAAGTGGCATCAACGCCGTCCACGTCGCCCTCGGCGGGGTGATGAAGATGATGGCGGAGATGCAGCACCGGCAGACGGAGAAGATTGACCGGCTGGAGGCGACGGTGGAGAGGCTGCTGAGGAGGCTGCAGGAGGCGGAGGGTGACGGGGGTGAAGGGGGTGATGGTCACCAGGGAGGTAATGGTAATGGTCATCACCACCCGCCAAACAGTCCCTACCACTCGTACTCGGAGACGAGCACTATCTACGCGAGGACGCCGACCTTGGCTCAACAGCCTCTTCATCCTCCACCGCCTCCTCCTCCTCCTCCTCCAACTGCACCTCCTACATCCTCAAAAGAGGATGAGGAAAACTCCTTCAACGAGGTGAGGACAAGGCACCAAAATCAACAGCAGCAGCAGCAGCAGCAGCCGCCTCACCATCACAGTCGAAACAACTCGAGTTAGTTTTGAGCAAAGAGGTTTTTTCTACTTTAGCTGATAATGACGCCTGCAAAACCAAAGTGGTACGACTGGCACAAATTCGTCGACTCACCTCTTTTTCCAGTCGACAGTTTGCGCGGTATTTCATATCATCTCCACTTCCATTTTCATCTCATCTCATTTGAGCCTGACCTTCAATCTTTAATCACCATCACCTCCTTTTGTACATTAGTAGTCTTCTTTTTATAGCTGATCTTTTTGCCCATCTTCTTTCTTAACTTATTGTGATGTTTCCCTGACTTTTTTCTACTCTTGNTTTTAATCACCATCACCTCCTTTTGTACATTAGTAGTCTTCTTTTTATAGCTGATCTTTTTGCCCCTCTTCTTTCTTAACTTATTGTGATGTTTCCCTGACTTTTTTTTCTACTCTTGCTTACTCATCCCCCTTTCCCACTTTCTCCTATTCCATTTGAGGAGCGTCTTTCGCCACTTTACCCCCTATTTTACATTTTAGCTATTGGCTAAAATAGGTACCCTCCTTCTTTTTAACTTTTCTGTGTAAAGAAATTGTGATGATTAAAGAAAGCGATAATGATCTGCNGCTTACTCATCCCCCTTTCCCACTTTCTCCTATTCCATTTGAGGAGCGTCTTTCGCCACTTCACCCCCTATTTTACATTTTAGCTATTGGCTAAAATGGGTACCCTCCTTCTTTTTATCTTTTTTCTGTGTAAAGAAATTGTGATGATTAAAGAAAGCGATAATGATCTGCCGTCTTTTCTAGAAAAATCTCGTTTTTGGTTTGGCGCCGTTGGCTCAAAAAGTTGGCCAGCCAGCCAGCCTAGGTGCAAATAGTCGAGGTGCAATATTTTTTTTCGGCGAGCAAAAAAAATAACGCGTCTGTCAGTTGGCTCAACGTCGCCCGCGGCTGCTGCACAACACAACACACTGCAAAGCAGAAAGGATACTTTGTTGACGCCTTACCAACGCCAACGCCGGGATTCACTCTGTCTGCTGCCTTCCTGCACTACTAGCCTAGTTACCTCAATTACCACTTTTTTTCTAAAAAACCCTTAAATTCCACCACCACAAAGTGTCCTCCTTTTCTACTAAACATCAACAGATCAACTGTAGCAACAGCCAGCTTGATTCGCGATCATGTCCTCCAATCTGGTGTGGAGCATTAAGAACGGCGACGCGGAGAATGTGCGCGAGATCTTCGAGAAGGAGGTAAGTGAAGTTGCGGGGATTGAATTTTGGAAGGTGATAATAAACTCCTCCTCCGGTCATTTAGAAACTGGACGCCAATCTGATGATCGACGGGCGGCGACCGCTTCACTACGCCGCCGACTACGGCCAGAAGGAGATCATCGAGTACCTGATCACGAAGCAGGGCGCCGATGTCAATGTAAGTGTTTCTATTTTGTTTTGGGTTTTATTTTCTAAAAACTGTCATCATTTTCCAGGCCCTGGACAAGCACAACATCAGCCCGCTGCTGGCGGCCATCTGGGAGGGGCACACCGAATGTGTCCGCCTGCTGATCGCCAATGGCGCCCAGATTAACGGCCGCACACCGGACGGCCTCAGCTACCTCGAGGCGGCGGAGAAGGCGGAAATCAAGTCGATGCTCTCCGTATGAATCGCGAGCGGTGAGCAGCAGCAGCAGCAGCAGCAGC